AACTCACACTTGACTTCAGCCATCCTGGTCTATCGCTGACAAACCTGTCACTTTCACTGAATAGTGAATATTTATATTTTCTCCTTTTCTCATTTATATTGGGCCAGGCAGGTCAAGAAGACCAGCTTACATTGCCAACCTAGTCAGAGAAGTCCCAATTCCCTTTAAAAAAGCAGTATATCTTTGACTTCATGAGATATTGGAAACCAGGATAGAAGAAAAGATAGGACTGGGAATTAATGTTTTAAAAAATATATTAGGTTTCTTGTCTCTCCCCACCCTTGAGTTTACATTCACTTTCTTTAAGGTATATTTTTGCTTAAATAGTTTCCTTCATTTCTACTGCCACATATCAAAACTGCTACTTCTAGGATAACTGAGAGATACTTTGTGGGGAAGAGCCTGTTTTCATACATAATGTGGACAATAGCTAATATTATTTGAGAACTATGTCCCCGGCACTGTACAACATTCTTTTTTTAAGCTTTATTGATATATATACTAGTAATTAACATATAGTAATGTGTAATTTTAAGGTATACACATGATGATTTGATATATGTGTGTATTGTGAGGTGATGACCACAACAATAAGGTTAGTTAACACCTCACATAGTTATCGTGTGTGTGTGTGTGTGTGTGTGGTGAGAACTTAAGTTCTACTCTCATCAACTTTCAAGGACACAATACAGTATTGTTAATTATAGTCACCATGCTGTATATTATTCATCTTATAACTGAAATTTTACCATTTGACTATCTTCACCCAATTCTCCCACCCCTGACCCCACCTCTGGCAACCAGTGATCTGCTCTCTGTTTCTGACTTCGGGATTTTTTAGATTTCACTTATAAGTGAGATCATACAGTGTTTGTCTTTCTCTGTCTAACTTGTTTCCTATAGTATAATACCTTCCAGATTCATCCATGTTGTTGCAAATGGCAAGATTTCCCTATTTAATGGCTGAATAATATTAGATGATAGATGATAGATAGATGATAGATAGATAGATAGATAGATAGATAGATAGATAGATAGATAGATAGATAGAGAGATATCTTGGCTATTATAAATAATGCTGCAGTGAACATGAGGGGGCAGGCATTTCTTCAAGATAATGATTTTATTTACTTCGGATATTTATCTAGAAATGGGATTGTTAGATCATAAGATTGCTCTATTTTTAATTTTTTGAAAACATCCATACTGTTTTCTATAGTGGCTGCAACAATTTACAGCCCCACCCACAGTGCATGGGGGGTTCATTTCTCCACATCCTTGACAGCACTTGTTATTTGTTGATTTATTGACAGCGATGCTGACAGGTGTGAGGTGGTATCTCATTGTGGGTTTTAGTTTGCATTTCCATTGATGATTAGTGATGTTGAGCATCTTTTCATCTGTCTATTGGCCATATGAATTTCCTCTTTGGAGAAATTTCTATTCAGGTCCTCAGCCCATTTCTTAGTTGGATTGGATTTTTTCTGGTGTTGAGTCACATAAGTTCTTTATATATTTTGGATATTAACCCCTTATCACATGTACCATTTTTTAGTATTTTCTCCTATTCAGTGGCTTTTTGTTTTGTTAATGGTTTCCTTCATTGTGCAAAAATTTTTTAGTTTGATGTAGTCCATTTGCTTTGTTTTGTTTTGTTTTCCCTTGCCTGACAAGATTTTCTCAAAAGGATATTGCTAAGAGCTATGTCAAAAAGTTTACTGCCTATGTTTTCTTCTAGGAGTTTTATGGTTTCAAGTCTTACATTTAAGTCTTTAATCCGTGTATATGGTGTAAGAGAGTGGTCCAATTTTATTTTTATTTTTTTGTATGTATTTGTCCATTTTTCCCAACATCACTTATTGAGGAGACTGTCTTTATTCCATTGTATATTCTTGCCTCCTTTGTCATAGATTGATTGACCATACAAGCAAGAATATACAAAGTAAACTCGACATGGATTATATTTCTGGGCTCTCTCTTCTATACCATTGAGCTACAAAACTGTTTTCATTATTGTAGCTTTATGCTATAGTTTGATATTAGAGAGCATAATACCTCCCACTTTGTTCTTCCTCAAAATGTCTTTGGCCTCACGTTCTTCTCGCACTGAACCTCTTTAGAAGGGTTATTCTGAATTCAGCCAGTTCTGAATCTCTATTTCTTTAAGGTCAGCTATGGGAGCCTTATTAATTTCTTCTAGTGGTGTCGTGTTAACCTGATTCTTTATGATATCTGCACATTTGAGTAAACAATCT